TTTGTTTTACAATTTTAATGCTAATGTGCACATATTTATATTTTTATCAGAAAAGTAATCATAGGGGCACTTGGGTGGCTCAGTCTGTTAAGCGTCTGCCTTCGGCTCGGGTCATGATCCCAGGGTCCTGGGTTCGAGCCCCACATTGGGCTCCCTGCTCAGTGGAGAGTCTGCTTCTCCCTCTCCCTCTGCCCCTCCCCCTGCTTGTGCTCTCTCACTCTCTCTGTCAAATAAATAAATAAAATCTGAAAAAAAAGAAAAGCAATCATACTTAGCATGCTCTTTTGTAATCTTTTTGCATTGAGTAATTTCCCAAGTATTTTCCCATGACAAATACTCTTTTGCACTGTGATTTTTAAGGGAAAACCTGATTTCATGAATACCAATCTCCATTAATTCCACAAACACTCTTTAAAGACCCTCAGATAAAAAGTATCATTAACTCTAATGTACGCTGAGCCCTTGGGTTGAACATCCCTCAGCAAAAGCATGAAGCATATTCAAGTGTGACTTTACTGTTTAAAGTACAAGTATGGGAGTCACCTTGGTGAGTCAGCCTCTGTACATTAGGTATGGTGGAGCCCAGACATTTGCAATTGGAACTCACGCAGCCTCAGTGGATGGTATTTCTGCACTTGATTCTGATTACACAGAATTGAGAAAATTCCTGATTCACAATAAAAAGTTCTGTTAGTTTCTGAGCTCTTAGAATGAATGGGGTCCTATGCCCCAAGGTGGGGACTGTTAGAATCCCCATTTCACAGAGGGGCACACTAAGGCTCAGAGAGAGTAGTGGGGCTTGTGAGAAGCTGGTGAGGCCTCTTTGCCTCCTTCAGAGACTCTGAGTCACAGACGAGGTCACTGTGAACTTGCTCATGAGGACACACCTGAATGTAAAAGCAGATTAGGCCAGGGGCACCTGGGTGGCTCAGTTGGTTAAGCTACTGCCTTCAGCTCAGGTCATGATCCTGGAGTCCCGGGATCGAGTCCCACGTCGGGTTCCCTGCTCGGCAGGGAGTCTGCTTCTCCCTCTGACCCTCCCCCATCTCATGCTCTCTCTCTCTCTCTCATTCTCTCTCTCAAATAAATAAATAAGATCTTAAAAAAAAAATAAAAAAAATAAAAGCAGATTAGGCCAGAATCCCCCCTTTCCTTGACATGTTTACAAGGCAGTCAAATACGTGCACAGGATCAGGGAGATTTTCATTCCAGAGCCTGCAGGAAAGCCAGTTAAGTCAGTTAACTGGGAGCAGCTCTTGTGTGTTAAAATATGGTGTGTAGGGGCGCCTGACTGGCGCAGTCCGTTAAGGTGTCCGACTCCTGATTTCGGCTCAAGTCATGATCTCAGGGTGGTGGGATCAAGCCCCAAGTTGGGTTCTTTGCTCAGCACAAGTCTGCTTGTCCCTCTCCCTCTGCTCCTCCCCCTGCTCACTCGTGCTCTCTCCCTCTCTCCCTCTCAAATAAATAAATAAAATCTTTTAAAGAATAAAAATAAATAAATAAATAATGGTCTGTATCACATCTACATGATGTTTTAAAATTCTGGCTTGCAGAGTAAACTATATGTTGTTCAGTACTTTAGAAACCACTTTTCTTGTTTTTGAAAAATAATAGATAATCTTTATACAAAGTTTTTCAAACATAAAGATACGTATGGAGTCCTTCATGGGGAATATATATATATATGATTTTTATAAAAATGAGATCAGTTACATATCCCGTTCTGCTCCTTGCCTTGTTTACTTAACAACAGATCAAGAGGATCTTTTTTTTTTAAAAGGAAAGGTTTTTATTTATTTTTATTATTTTTTTAAAGATTTATTTATTTGACAGAGAGAGATAGCGAGAGAAGGAACACAAGCAGGGGGAGTGGGAGAGGGAGAAGCAGGCTTCCCGCAGCGCAGGGAGCCCGATGTGGGGCTCGATCCCAGGACCCTGGGATCATGACCTGAGCTGAAGGCAGATGCTTAACGACTGAGCCACCCAGGCGCCCCTATGACGTGGGGCATCGGGCTCCCTGTTCCACGGGAAGCCTGCTTCTCCTTCTCTCACTCCCCCTGCTTGTGTTCCCTCTCTCGCTGTGTCTCTCTCTGTCAAATAGATAAATCTTTAAAAAAAAAAAAAAGATGATCTATGACGCATTTATACTCTAGAATGCATTACAACAGTAAAAAACAAAAACAAAAACAAAAAAACAGAGGTGAATTAATAAATACTGACATGAAAAGTGACCATAACATATAGTTAAGTGAAGAAAACAAGTTACAAAGCAGTATTTTAAAGCATGATTCTATTAAGCATGTGTGCATACTTATGTAAATATCTATAGATGTGTCAATATAAACTTTTGAAAAGCCAAAAAGGACATTCATCATGTGTTAATTATTCTGGGGCGGGGGGTTGGACCAGATTTGGGGAGGTGTGGTGTGGGGAGTGAAATATGGGATGCTTCCATTTCTAAATTTTTTAAAAAAAGATTTTATTTATTTATTTATTTTGGGAGAAAGAGAGAGAGACAGAGAAACAGCATGAGGGGGGAGAGGGTCAGAAGGAGAAGCAGGCTCCCCGCTGAGCCGGGAGCCCGATGCGGGACTCGATCCAGGGACTCCAGGATCATGACCTGAGCCAAAGGCAGTTGCTTAACCAACTGAGCCACCCAGGTGCCCTCCATTTCTAAATTTTTATAATCTTTAAGCAGAAGGGTTATGAATGATTTTGGTTTGTTTTTTTTTAAGTATTCTTTTTTTTCCCATTTCCATTTTTTAAAACATTATTCTAAAAACATTGGCCCATTTCTTTAAAAAGAAAAGACCAGCCCTGAAAATGTATCTACAGGAATAAAAGTACTGCATGTGGTTTGCAAGTTTTTCTACTCTGCATCTCTTGGGAGATTTCTCCATGTTAGAACAGTACTTTTTACTACTGTGTGGTATTCTAGACTACAGACATAGCATAGCTAACTTAACTGGTCCCCTACAGAGGCTCATTTGGGTCACTGTAATGAATATCCTTATATATACTTTTCAATTATTTATACCATTATGACATCTTTTTGTATTGGCTCACATAGTTCTATCTTCTTCTTCAACAGCCACAGGGAATCCAGGCCAGGGATAGAACATGAGCTGTACAACCCACTCCCTGCTGAGGGATGTTTCCAATTCTTCACCCTAACAAAAAACCTCTTTGACCATTACAGATTTTTAAAAGTATATTTTAAGGGGCCCTTGGGTGACTCAGTCGGTTAAGTGCCTGCCTTTGGCTCAGGTCATGATCCCGGGGTCCTGGGATCGAGCCCCGCATCGGGCTCCCTGCTCGGCGGGAAGCCTGCTTCTCTCGCTCCCACTCCCCCTGCTTGTGATCTTGCTCTTACTGTCTCTCTCTCAAATAAATAAATAAAATCTTTAAAAAAAATAAACAAAAGTATATTTAAAAAAAGCTGAAATCTGGCGCCTGGGTGGCTCAGTCGTTAAGTGTCTGCCTTCAGCTCGGGTCATGATCCCAGGTCCTGGGATCGAGCCCCGCATCGGGCTCCCTGCTCGGCGGGAAGCCTGCTTCTCTCGCTCTCCCACTCCCCCTGCTTGTGTTCCCTCTCTCGCTGTGTCTCTCTCTGTCAAATACATAAATAAATCTTAAAAAAAAAAAAGCTGAAATCTAAATTCAGCTTTTGCAGACCATCTGCAGACCAGTGGAGTAAATGGGGACCCTGAGAAATGTCATTTGGTGGGGAAGGAAGCCAGGCCCTCTTGGCAGGGCCTAATTGCTATAAAATGGACGGAGGTTGGCCTGCTTGAGTGAGGACAACAGTGAGGATGAGATTCCTAGAGTGCTTGCTGTCATGCATCCCTTAGAGAACTTGCTGGAAGCTACAGCCCCTAGGAGGAGGTTATCTGCCACCTGTACCAGCCCAACTGTACTCTAATTTTCCTTTGATGGATCACCCCACTTCCCAACACCATCCTTAGCAGCGGTAATAATTCAGGTACCCTCCTTTCCCCACCAAAGGATGGGCCTAGACTCTAAACTAAAGATAGTGAGATTGAATCCTCGACCTTGGCTCAAGCTGTTGGGAGAGAGGCCTCTCTTGCTGCTCCGTGGCTTAGCTATCAAGACGTAAGTCTGGTGTTGCCAGGGGAATCCTGCCTGAGAAGGAAGCAGGTTTCCTGGAAACTTAGATGGAACTCCTAGATCTAGACGTGCCTGAAGCCAGCAATATTGACTCAGTTACATGAGCCAAGAATTCCATGTTATGTTTCAGTCAGTGCCAGTTGGGTTTCTGCCACTTCCATTCTTGTTCATTTGCCTTTGCCCCAGAAGAAAACAAATTGATTCATTCAACCAGTATTTATTGAATATCGATGCTCCTCCCTCTGCTGGGTGATGCTGGGGACAATAAAGTGACCATGACAGAGTTTGTCCCTCCCCTCATGGCAATCTCCGTCAACCAGAGAATAAACAATCACAAACTACTTAGCAAAAATGGCAGCACCTGCCATGAAGGAGGTGCTCAGGGAGCTACAACAGAGGCATTGGTGATTTGGGTAGTGGGATCTGGGAAGGGTCCCCTGAGGAGAGGACTTTAAGTTGACACTGAAAGATGTGCCAGGAATCAGCAGAGTGAAATGAGGTCAAGGGCTAAGGGTCCCTGTACACATGTCCAAGGGTTTCAGGGCACCCCCAAGTCGCAGCAGGGCTCAGAAAGTTGGTAAAAGAGAGAAGGAAGAGGTAAAAGAGAGGAAGGAGGGAAGGTTGAGGGAGGTGGGAAGGGGAGAGGTGAGGCAGCCATCCAGACCACAGCCGGAGGAAACAGGAACGGGAGAAGGAGGAGGAGGCCGAGGCGTGCACGTGGCCTTCCCTCCTTGTTCCTCACAACGTGGTGTAGAAATACATGGCTATCAGCATCACAGGGAGCTGGATGAGGAGGCAGTCAGGTGAGGGGCGCTCCAGCCCCACACCCACATCCCCCCCTCGCCCATAGGCTTCCCGCCTCTCACCGTCCACATCAGGATGGCAAACCCAAACCACGAGATACCCCACGTGTAGCTGTCGATGGCATGGCCGATGTGCTCGAAGCAGCCCTGGGTGGGGGGGGGAATGGGCGTTTGAGGAAATGCCCAGTAGGGCTAGCACTGAGGGAGAGTCACTGCGTGCCCTTTGGAAGGTCACTTCCTTCCCCTCAGCCATGCAATGGGGATTGTGGCAGTGTCTACCTCCCAGAATGGTTTTTGGGGAGCCAGGGGTGTGATGTTGGACCCAGGCCCCACGCAAGTAGGTATTACCCTGGCGGTGGCTATGACAGTCTGAGGGCAATTTTGTGCAGAGCTGGCTTTCCATGCTGCCCACAAGTTCCAAGGGTTTGAAATCTGCCTTTAGGTGCGGTGCAGTTTTGATACATCCCCATTTAGGAAGGAGGCCAAGTGGGGCCTGAGCCTCACAACAGAGTCACCTTCAGGTAGACCCCTGCCTCGACTTGGAAGCACCCACAAACTAAGGTTGAGGGTGCGCGTCCTGGAGTCAGGCAGGACTGAGTTGGGGGCCATCTCCGCCATTTGTTAGCTGTTAGGGCCTGGGAATGATTCTGGCTCTCTGAGCCTCAGTTTGCCCATCTGTGAGGTGACAATCTTGACAGCACTGGCCTCTGAAAGTGGTCGTGGGGAGTCCACGAAATGACGCATGTGTGCACTCTGCACCGAGCTGGGCTTCAGAAATGGCCATCGGGCTCTGATAGCCGTCGTGGTCGGCGCAGGTCCCCTCTCCGTGACACCTGATCTAAGACGTGTGGCTGAAGGGCCCCTAGGCAGCCGAAAGCAGCCAGAGGGACTGTTGGAACTGGTTCTCCTCCTAGTCTAACCTCCTCTGGTTTCTCTCTCTGCCTCTGCACTCACTGGTTAAAGCTCCTGAAATCCAGTCCCAGCTCCATCGCTCACTAGACAGTGAACTCAGTTTCATCATCCTTAAAATGGGCTCATTAATCATATTGCACCTCACAGGCCGTGGTGGGAATTAAATAAGACAAAGACTTAAAGCCCTTAGAAGAGTGCCGGGCACCACGTAAGGGCTCAATGCGCGTGGTTACTATGGTTGTGGTGCTACCGCTGTGATTCCTGTTGCTCTCCTTCCCAGATGACCTGAGAAAAGTGGCAGGTGCCAGCTCAGACCCTGGGCCTCCCACTGACTTGCGGGGGGAGCAGGGACAGGTGGCAAGAGAGTTGAGAGAGCCGGAGAGACGGGAGAGAAAGAAAGAAGCCCAGAGGGGAGGAGGAGAAGAAAGTGGGAGGCAGGACGAGACAGAAGAACCAGGGGGGCCGGACCGATGCACAGACAGGGGAGCGGCAGGGAGGGGACACACCTTGGTGAACAGGTAGTCTGTGTGGCCCAGGCGGCAGCCTTCTGCACTGAGGGGGATGAAGTTGCCAGTCCGCCGACAGCACAGTGGGGGCCAGGGGAACACCACCTCCGGGGTGGCTGCCCGGAAGGCTGATGTGAAGTTCACCCAGTCCATGGGCCCGGATGTGCCACAGCACTCTTGCTGGAGAGAAGGGGCGGACGGGGGCGGGGATCAGGCAGGCTCTGGCTCAGAGAGGACAGCCACTCGCCTGAGGTCCCAGAGTGAGGAAGGGGCCGACTTCCCATGTCCTGGGCCTCGAAGTGGGGGGCGGGCAGTGTCTGTGCGTGTGAACAAGGAGCAGAAGATATTTGTCCCAGCACCAAGAGGCTGATGGGGGGTTTGAGTCAAACCCACACTTGTGACTCATTTTAAAATTCTTTTGAATTAGCTGTCAACAAAATCTGAGGTAAAGGACGCCAAAAAAAGGATTTCTGGCTTTTTTCTGGCCCCTGTGGGTGTACAATTAGTGGCCCTGAATGATGAAAACATCGGCTCCTTCACATAGGAGTTCCAATCCTGGCTAGTGGTATGACTTGAAACCAATTGGGACCTCACTTCCCCTTGGGTCCTCAATATTCTTCTCTTCTGCCATATCACGTTGGGTTTAATTAAGAATGTGGCTTCTGGGGCGCCGGGCTGGTGCAGTCAGTTGGGCGTCTGACTCTTGGTTTCTGCTCCGGTCATGATGGGTGGTGATCTCGGGGTCGTGGGGTCGGGCCCCATGTTGGGCTCCACACTTGGCACGGAGTCTGCTTGAGACTCTCTCTCCCTCTCCCTCTGCCCTTCCCCACCCCCTGCACACGTGCATGTTCTCTCTCTCTTTCACTCAAATAAATAAGTGAATCTTAAAAAAAATGATAATAATAATGTGGCTTCTGGAAGCTGGTGGCCTGGGTTTGAATCCTTCTGGTTCTGTGACCTACCAGCTGTGTGACTTTATGTAAGCCACTCAAACTCTTACCTTGGTTTCTTGATGGCTAAAAAGCTGATCTCCCTTATGGGGTGGTTGTAAGGATTAAATAAGCTTTAAAAGTGCTTCCAACAGTACTAAACAAAAGTTAGTGCTCATTAAATGTTCATTATTAAGAAGGTATCTGTAATGGTTAAGAGCAGGGTCTCTGGATCCAGGCTGTCAGACTTTGATCCCAGCTTACCAACCATGTGACATTGGGCAAGTGATGTTCCCTTTTCCGTTTTCTGGGCCTGTCTACTCATCTGGAAAATGGCCATGACCAGCCCCACCCCGCAGAAGAACCACAGGAGTGGGTATCATCTACCAGTGGGCATAATGGGAGGCCCCTATCTACTTCTGTGGTCAGAGCCCCAGGTCCTCCAGCCCTCCCTACCCCCTCACCACCTCATCTCCTCATCCCCCCGCCCCGTTGTCTACCTCAATCATGACACGGTCCCAGAGGCGAGTCAGTTCCTGGCCCTGGTCTGTGTCTGCACTGTAGAAGGTCAGCATCTGCTTGGTAATCAGGGATGGGTTGGACACCATCTGCGGAGGTCCAGGAAGAACAGGGTCCAGTTGGGCCGTGGGGGAGGGGAGGTCAACCCCCACTCCATCCCCACACTCAGACCCAGACCCTTGCCACTCTTGCCCCAAGTCATGCCCCTCCCCTGGCCTCTGCCCAGCTCACATAGTCGCGATGAGTGTAGGACGTGATGCAAGAGGCGCACTCAAAGATGTAGACGATGAGCATGAGCACCAGGTACTGGGGAGAGATGGAGGGAGAGACAGGGACCGCCCAGTCAGGGCGAAGCCTGCGGGGTCACACCCCCTCAAGGAAGTGTAGGACAACGTAAATGGTAGCATTTATGTGGTGGGTGTACACATTGTTCCCTGTTCAAGTCTTTCACCTTTTCGGTATGTTTGAAATTTTTTTATAACAAAATGTTAGGGAAAAAATGAAATCAACAAAATATGTAAAGTATTGCCTGAAATTACTATTGGTCTGGACGCAGTAAAATAAATAACTACTGGGCGCCTGGGTGGCTCAGTTGGTTAGGCGACTGCCTTCGGCTCAGGTCATGATCCTGGAGTCCCGGGATCGAGTCCCGCATAGGGCTCCCTGCTCGGCAGGGGGTCTGCTTCTCCCTCTGACCCTCCCCCTTCTCATGTGCTCTCTCTCATTCTCTCTCTCAAATAAATAAAATCTTTAAAAAAAAAATAAAAATAAAATAAAAAAAATAAATAACTACTATAGGAAAAAAAAAAAGACATTCTTGAGACAACCAGAGACATTTGAACACAGACTAGGTACTGCAACCTAGACATGAAGGAACTTGGGTGAATTTTGTAGGGCTTAACGGTGGCATGGTTGTTATGCATAAAAACAACAAAAAAGCTCTTTCCTCGCCCCTCACCCTCTCCCTTAAAGCAACAGGGGGTGGAATGTGGATACGCCAACACCTCTGCCAAAAGATAAGATGATGGAGCACAACATGCCCCACTGCTCTCAACAATGTCCTTATCACTCAGAGAAATGTGCACTCAAGTATCTATAGGTAAATGATTGGGTGTCTGGAATGCACTTCAAACACCCCAGAAAGAACAATGTGGGCAGGCAGAGGGTGGAGCCGGGGGACCAAGCTGGCCAGGCTGTGCTGTGGTCGATATTGTTGAAACCAGGTGACAGGTACGCAGGGTTCATGCCATTCACTCCACTCTATGTTTGAAATTTCCCATAATAATTTTTTTTAATTCTGTGTCTTAGTTAATGACAAACTAATAGGGGAGACAGACATAGACACAAACCTTTTTTTTTTTTTTTTAACTAGTTGGCTGAGCTTTTAGGGCTTTGGTTAAACTGTTATGTCAGAGAATTACATGCAGGAAAGAAAGCAAAAGAGAAGGAAAAGACCCTTCCTAAGGCTCCATCTTACTCACAGTAAAGCCAAAGTCCTTATCAAGGCTGGCAAGACTTGACTGATAGGCCCACCTTCCCTTTCCTGCCCTCATCTTCCATGCCCACCGCCCATGGTACCCCCCTTCTCTCCGCCCTCATTGCCTCTCCCTCATCCCCACCCCCTCTTGGCTCCGGCCACACTGGACTCCTGGCTCCCTCTTGCTGTTCCCTCCCCCAGGAATGCTCTTCCTGCAGACACAAGGCACACTCCCTCACCTCCCCCAGGCCTCCCCTCCCACTTCCCCAGCTCCAGATCTCCCTTCCCTCCTCACTGTCCACTGTCGCCCCCATTGGGGGTATCCTCGCCTTAGGGCAAGGGCTTTTCTGTTTTCTCTCTAGATAGCCCCAGTGCCTAGCGTGGGATTTGGCCCATGGTTCTTGCTCCATCAACATTTGTTGATTGAATAAGCAGCTGCTCCCGGGTATCTAAGAGGCCCTCAACTATGGAGGACGCACAATGTTGGCTCTATGTTGGGGGACCGGGATCAGAACTCCTACCTTCCCTATCACCTGGGCTGTTGGCTTCTTTGAGACCCAGTTTTCCTGTCTGGTAAATGGGCAGAGAAGCACTAATTCCAGAGAGCTGCTGGGGACATTGAGAGAGCTCATTTTCTGAACTGCTTAGCCTAGTGCCAGGCACATGAGTGGTCCTTGGGAGGTGTGGGTTCCTGCTGTGGTGGTTATCACTGGCAGAAATGAAGAGCAAGGGGGTGCCTGGGTGGCTCAGCCGTTAGGCCTCTGCCTTCGGCTCGGGTCATGGTCCCGGGGTCCTGGGATCGAGCCCCGCATCGGGCTCCTTGCTCTGCGGGGAAGCCTGCTTCTCCCTCTCCCACTCCCCCTGCTTGTGTTCCTGCTCTTGCTAACTCTCTCTCTGTCAAATAAATAAATAAAATCTTAAAAAAAAAAAAAAAGAAAAGAAAAAGAAATGAAGAGCAAGGCTCAAGCTGAACTGCTCAGGCTTAAATCTTGACTCCCGTCACCCACTCGCTGTGCAACCCCAGGTAAGTGACTTCACTTCGCTGAGCCTGTTTCAACTCTGTCAAATGGGCTCACCATGATGACGGTATCTCCTGGTGGGCTGTGAGAGTAAATGCACCCATGCATGTAAAGCATTGAGAATGTAATGAGCACTCCTGAAATGGCAGCTGTACTATTATTATTGTTGTTGTTGTTGTTGTTGTTGTTTTGACAGAGCTCATGTGCACAGACTCTGGGGACCAACTAGCTGAGGTTCGCGTCTCAGTCCTGCCACTCAAGAGCCGTCCTCCGGGGCAGAGCGCCCTTCCCTTCCTCTCTGTGCCCCAGTTTTCTCTGTAGACTGAGGGTAACAGCTGAGCCTGCCTCACTGGGTTCTGGGAAGATGAAATAGAGTGACTGCCACGAGGCCCGAGTGTGGCACACGCTGGACACACACTCGCAGCTGTGCCGGCCGTGCTTGCAGGGACCCTGCGGTGACCATCTCTGTGCCCGCCCGGCCCCATGCCCTCCTCCTAGGGCCTCACCGTGAGGATCATGGACCGGCGGCGGCACAGTGCTGCGCCCACCCCAAAGCTGGCCACCACGAAGAAGGAGAAGCCGCAGAAGATGGCGATCCAGGCGCCGGCGAAGACATCATCCTTGCCGGAGACGCCCATCAGTGGGTACACGCGGTACTGGTCGGCCGTCACCCACACCGTCTCGGCAAACAGGGCCAGGCCCGACAGCTGGGCAGGGCAGCAGGTTAGAGAGGGCACAGCAGCCGGGGCCGCGGGGCTCTCCCTGAGCAAGTTCCCCTCCTGAGCCTCCGCCGCCCTCTGTAAGGTGGGCACGTCCGAGGGACAAGGACGTCACCTTCCATGAGCAGAGACCAGAAGGGAAGGGCTGCCCAGCTAGATCCCTGCCCCCACCCACGGCCCAGCTGCCCGACACTTCAAGGATACCAGGAGATGCCACATGAGAAGCCCAGAGCGCATGACTGGAACAGAGGAGACGCTCCCTCGGTCACCCTGCCTTCCCTCAAACAGTGTTGTTATTCCCGAGCGGAGGAGTCTGGCCAGGGCCAGAGCAACTACAAATGCATCAACCCTTTGATCCAGCGATGCTGCTTGCAGAAATCAATCCTACCCATGCAGGAAAATCACAAACCCACAAGGTCATTCTCCGCACCTCCGTGTAAAAGGCCCCGCCATGCCGCACAAGGCAGTGCTCTGCAGGGGTGGAAAAGGGCGGGGAGGCTCTCTGAGGACTCACATGGAGTGGCCTCCAGACTATGGGAGCGGGAGAAACAGGGAAGCACAGAACAGGATGCAGAATGAGCTACATTTGGGACAAAAAGGGAAGAAAATAGGTATATACGTTCCTATTTGTATGTGCTTAAAGAAATGTTGGAGAAACTAAAAATCTAGGTACCTATAGGGATGAGAGATGGGCAGCAGGGAGAAGGGAAGGCTTCTCAGTGGATACCTTTGACCCCAATCAAGCTAACCCTCATAGGGCACATGGTGTGTGCGCGCCCCGCATTAGTCCTAGTAACAGCTTTCTGTGTGATGATCCTTGTTACCCGCTGCAGGGCACTATTCCTGTTAAGGCCAATACAGACTGTAACCACACGTGCCAGACTCTGGTCTGAGCCCATGAATCCAATAACTCATCCTCTCGGCATTCCTATTTTCTCTCCACCTACAGATGAGAAAACCGAGGCCCAGAGAGGTTACGTTGCTGGCCCCAGGGGCCACAATAGAAAGAGGCAGCGTTGGGGTTTGAACCCAGGCTGTCTGGCTCCAGAGCCATGTACAGGTATCATATTTTTTTTTTAAAGATTTTATTTATTTCTTTATTTGAGAGAGAGAATGACAGAGAGAGAGAGAGAGAGCACATGAGATGGGGGAGGGTCAGAGGGAGAAGCAGACTCCCTGCCGAGCAGGGAGCCCGATGCGGGACTCAATCCCGGGACTCCAGGATCATGACCTGAGCCGAAGGCAGTCACTTAACCAACTGAGCCACCCAGGCGCCCCCAGGTATCATATTTTAAAAAATTAACTATTAATGAAATACTATGGTTAGTATTCATCACTATGGGAGTCCTGGGCCCTCGTCCCCACCCCCAGGCCTGGGCTGTCCCTTCCTCCCCACCCACCCACTGGGCTCCCAGCACCGGGGGAGGTCTCACCAGAATAATGATGTTGCCCACCACCAGCAGGCCCACCACAACCGGAGACCCTTTCTCCGCCTCTGTTGCTGCGGATGCCATGGTCCTGCCTGAGACACGTGAGCAGGAATGAGGCCAGGCAGAGGCCAGGATGGGAGGGCAGCCCCAGCCAGGCCCACCACCCTCCCTCCACACCCCAGCTGCCAGCGGATGCTCCCAGCTCTCTGCTGGGCCCAGACTGGTACTGAACGAATCCTCCCACAACCCTGATGGTGGGCCATCTTACAGAAGAGGGAACCAAGGCTCAGGCAGGGCAGTCACTGGCCAGAGCTCAGTGCTGGGCTCCCTGCACCTCAGAGCTTCCCAGTTTCCCCTGCTCATCCAGACCCCCCAGAGCCCCTCCTCACCTTCTCTTTCCGAAGCCTCTGTGGCCAGGCCTTCCCACGGTGGCTCCCTATATATGCCCAGGCCCCTCCTTGGGCCAGTCTCCAGGAAGGGGGAAGGGTGTCTGGAGGAGGAGATAAGAGGTCAAGCAGGCCGACCAGCATGGAAGAAGAGTTTTATGAGCACCAACCACCCCCAACCCTAGTGATTTATAGACCTGAAATTCAAGATTGTGCTAATGTGTGGCTGCATGAGCAGGGTGATGTGCCCAAGGCTTCCGGCTCCCAGGCTGTCGTGGTGGTGGAGGAGGAGGCTGGGGTTGGGAGGGTGAGTGTACCACTTGATCTCTCTCCTTTGGACGTGGGCCTTCCTGGGAGCAGGGGAGAGATCCAAGTTGGATCCACATGTGAATCCTGAATCCCAGAACTGCGTCCTGTGCTAGCGGCTCCACATCTCAGGCTGTGAGCCCAGGGGGAGGTCCAGACAGAGACCCCAGCAGGCTAGGTCAGAGCTGGACCTAGACAAGGAGGTGGGGAGGAGATGAAGGGGCAGGAGGAAGGGCAGCTCAGAAGGCTGATTATATGACAATAGGCTGAGGGGAGACAGTGGCTTGAGATGGGTGGGTGAGGGGAGTTCCAGATGAGTGTATAAGGGGGGGATGAAGAGAGTGTGCTAGAAAAAGAGAGAGGGCACACGGAATGGGCTTAGTGGGAGAAAAGTACCCCCCCACCCATGCACACAGACAAAGCAGGGCCACAGTGAGGAGCCATAGGTGGAAATGTCTTCAGGCTGCAGAATCAGAGACCAAGGTTGAAATCCCAGTTCTGCCTCCTCTGGGCTGCGTAACTTGGTATGTGCGTTTGCCCATCTGTAGAATGGGTATCATCGGCCGACTCGCCCCAGTAGCAGTGGGAACTGAGCGCAGGGATATGTGCAAAGGATGTCCTCTGGCTTGGAGTACAGCAAGAGGCCAGGCGGCACCAGCAACGCTCCCAGGGGCCCACTTTTCCTCCGATGGTGCCCCCTAGTGTCACAAGGCTGGTTCCTCAGGTGAAAATGGCTTGGGGCACCCGGTCCTTCCCCAGAACTTCTCAAGAACCAAGGCACTGACTGTGTTTTCTCTCTGAGCTGTAGCTCCCTTGGTGCATGTGAAATGGGCAAACAAATGGAACTTAAAATTTCAGTTAAGACAATGGCTTGGTAATAAAACACATGAGATGTGTTCCGATTAAAATTAAAATGAGTAATTTTTTAGCCAATCCACTTTACATTTAAGATAGTTTTTCTCTGTTGATTTACATTTATATTAAGGAGTAATAAGAAAATTTAAGTAATAACGTACATGACCTGTCAAGTACATTTTATGAGCTTTAGCTAAAATAACTTGGTAATAATAGGGCCATGCTAACAATATGAAATACTTTTATTTTCAAATAGTTGGTAACTGTTAGTAATTGGAAGTTATATAAAATGTCTCAGCCTTTTGGCAAGATCAAGTGTAAAATGCCTGGTAAAAGCAAAAAGTTATCATCATTGGGGCATTACTGTCACCAGTCATAAAAGGGGTCCATTTTGTTCTAGTGTGATGTCACAGCCTTTTTAAAAAAATTTTTAAATAGATTTTACTTATTTGAGAGAGACAGACAGAGAGAGGGAGAGCACTGAGGGAGAGGGAGAAGCAGGCTTCCCGCTGAGCAGGGAGCTTGATGTGGGGCTCGATCCCAGCACCCTGAGATCATGACCTGAGCTAAAGGCAGACGATTAACCGACTGAGCCACCCAGGTACCCTGTTCTAGTGTGATATCAAACATTAATTTTCACGATTCTTTCTTCTCATTATATAAGCCAGTCTTCAAACAATACATGTTGAAGTGCTAATTACTTCCTTTAAAAAATCACAATGCTGGGGTGCCTGGGTGGCTCAGTCAGTTAGGTGTCCGACTTTTGATTTTGTCTCAAGTCATGATCTTGGGGTCATGGGATCGAGCCCCCCACCCACCTGTGTGTGCTCTCTCTCTCTAAAAAAAATTTTTTTTAAAAAGTCACAATGCCAAGATCTCCTAAAGAGGACTCTTGCCTATCCACGATTATCCTGTGATCCAGTCATTTGTTCCTGGGAATCCCCCCATTTCTGTCTACCAAATGCTCTGAATGTATTCATATTAGTCCCAAGCTGGAAACCACCCAAATGCTCCTTCCCAGTAGAATGGGTAAGTACATTATGGTACATGCATACAAGGGATACTATTCAGCAATAAAAGGCAATGAACTATTGGTACTTGCAACTACAGGGATGAATTAAAAAAACAAAACAAAAGCATTACATTAAATGAAAAAAGCCACATTCAAAAGACTGTAAATGTATGATTCTAGATATGAAGTTTGAAAACAGGCAAAACCAATCTAGGGGGATAAAAGTCAGGGCAGTGGTTACCCTTGGGGGCATTGTGACTAGAAGGGACAGGGAGGGGATTTCTCTTTCCTGGTTTGGACACTGGTTACATGGGCTGCTCAGATTGTGAAAATTTGTCTAGCTGTACAGATACGGTAAGTGCATTTCTCTGTGAATATGTATATATTCTTAATTACAATGTGTTCTAAAGAGGGTGAAACCTTTTCAAAGAGACAGATTTGATGTGTCAAAGGGGTGTTTTCCAAAGGGTGCACAAGAGCTGATTTTAGGCTGTTTATGGACTTGAAATGGTATGAACCTACGTAACTGATATCTAATGGGAAAATGATCTAGTTCTAATCCTCTAATCTCGATGGTGCCATTGAGAAAGGCTCAGTGGTCTGATGCTGTGTCCTAAACATCTCTCTCACCTTGCTTAGAGCAGGTCTCGGCAGCCTCAGTGTGTGAGTAGAATTGAATAATATATTTTCATTATATTTATTTTCAAGACAAGACCAGAGACAACTTCATTACTACATTTGGGTCTCATCATCCTCCACAACCTTTGCACTGTCTTCTTCTTCAGATCTCAGGTGTCACCGGTTGAGTTAATTCCATACCCTCAGATCATTATTCCCCACAAGATATCTCTTGTTTTAAATTTAACTTATTCCCTTATATCCCCATATCTCAATCACTTTTGGTGCCCTCTACTGGTAAACACTCTAATATGTCCGCATGTATCTTTTTTTTTTATTATGTTATGTTAATCATCATACATTACATCATTAGTTTTTGTCGTTGTTGTTAAAGATTTTATTTATTTATTTGATAGAGAGACACAGCGAGAGAGGGAACACAAGCAGGGGGAGTGGGAGAGGGAGAAGCAGGCTTCCCACGGAGCGGGGAACCTGATGCGGGGCTCGATCCCAGGACCCTGGGATAGTGACCAGAGCCAAAGGCAGACGCTTAACGACTGAGCCACCCAGGCGCTCCTACATCATTAGTTTTTGATGTAGTGTTCCATGATTCATTGTTTGCGTATAACACCCAGTGCTCCATGCAGAATGTGCCCTCTTTAATACCCATCACCAGGCTAACACATCCCCCCACCCCCCTCCCCTCTAGAAC